TCGGCAGGGCCCTGCTCCCCCCTCCTGAGGCGCCGGACGGTTTGCCAGAATCTCTTCGAGGCCGACCGAAGAGATTCTGGCAAACCGTCCTTGGTTTTTGGTAAAATTGTCAAATGTATAAAATCAATTATGTGTTTATTATTGAGGTCATAGTTAAAGGTGGTGTTGTATTAGAGTACATTATAATCATTATAATCTGACCTTCTCATGTATGTGGCTAGGGAGAATAAAGGTATGGTATTGAATCGGAAAAGAAATAAGTGGCATCACACATCGCTACACCAAAAAGGCAGCTGGGTACATCACACAGGGACCATGAATGACTGAACCATATTTCATAGCAGTCCATCTAGTAGCTGCTGTGTTATTGTACATTTTACCAAAGTGGTAGAACAACTAACTGACATAACCATCTGTAGGCACAGGCCGCTGTTGTGGTTAAAAATAAACATATCATCCCTTTATTTCCAAATGTTACACAGGTGATGAACAACTTTTGTTTTTAAAATAAAAACAATAAAACGGGGGGACTGCGGTTTAAAATGATATATGAAGCAGCTCAGTCATACATCCTCTGTTATCTGTGCTTTTGAGGAAAATGAGAATTTGTCTTTCCCTGCTGTCTGCCTGTACAACAGAGAGCAGCAATGCCACAGCGCTGCTTTGGATTAGAGAGTCATAATTCAGCCTTTGGGGTATGTAACTGTGTCACAAGTAGTATTGCCAGTAAATAAACTCAGGCTGTGCTGTCAACAGTAACTGGTGGCACTGCTGAGAAAGGCTTTGTGACTTTGTCCCAGAGAGTTGTGCTCATGCTACGTTCTACTGTCAGAAGCAATTCTGTCTCGTTCGCACTCTCTCTCTATCCGAGTACATGCGCAAAGAGGAAGTGTATCACAAATGAATGCAGACAAGCTTGCCCATGAATCAGAGAAGATTAGATTTGTTCAGCACACACACACACACACACATACACACACACACACACACACACACACGCACACACAGAGTCTCTTTCAGCTTTGTCTGGAGGAAACTCTCTACTGCTACACTCTGTGTCATTCCTGTTGTCATTTTAATTTCATCTGAGGACCCTGCCAAGGCAATAATGAGCTCAAGTCATAAGTGAGGGGCCATGTCGAGTGGCTTTGTGTGTGCGTGTGTGCATATTCGTGTGCATGTTTGTTTTTGGCAAAGGGAAAATGAGAGGGAAGGTAAATGGAGGAAACGACTGTGCTAAGTAGACGGGCTGGGCAGGTTTACGTGTGTTGTTTGTGTGCTTTATGTGTGCTGTGTGCAACATTGTGCTGGTTTTAAATTAATCAGTGCAGTGGGGTGTATCATCTAAGCTGCTGTAATGTGTCGACGCCTTTATTCAGTTTGAGTAGTAATCTTAGAACTCCCTGCTGGCCTGCATTCATCACCAAAGCTAGCTTAACCCAGCCTCAGAGACACAGAGAGACAGAGAAAAGCTAAAGAGATGGGCCATTTTCTAGGTCAAGATTAAACTTAAATAAGTGTAACCAGGCTAAATCTTCTCATTATATTGGTATTATAGTTGAGATGGATCTTGTTTGCTGAAACAGTCTGAGTTGGTTGGCTCCAGCTGATTATGAAATAATCCTTTATAATGTGTCTGAGGTAAAGAGACGATTGCCCTCGTGTTTGCCCTTTATTTAGTGAGCTTCAGCACCATGGACAGCAGCTTGCACTCACCTAATCTGGTTTCCTGGTGAGACATTACTGCACTTTTCCTGTTTTGTCTGGAGGTCCTCCCATGTTGTGAGGTCAATGACACACAGTCCTGCATGTGCTCTGAGGTACTCTTAGCAGGTTCCTGTGTTAACAGCAAGAAATGAGCTTGAAATATCCTTTCAGTGAGATCATTTACTCTAATTTCTAGAGAAATCAGAAAATGTTATATCATCTTAATTTCTCCCAAGGTACCTTTAAAAGTGTATTATAAATTGTAACTAATAGCTTTATACAGTACCTATGCTTAATAGATCAGTTATATGCCAGTTGTTTAGATCAACTCTTTGGTTTAGTGTTTATTGATGCCTACCTGTAATCAATGATTCACACACCATGAGTTATAAAGCCTAGCAAAAAGCTAATGGACATCAGTTTATCAGTAATAAATGTAAATAAGGTCATTATTAACAGGTCATGACTTTTAGCAGCAATGGTATTTACAGTTTTAAATCTTAATAAACCACTGATAAAGGGCATTTGCAATTGTAACTGTTAATATAACTGCCCTGCAGCCCCATTCTAGAGGCTCAGAGGTAAAAAGACAAAGCAAGTGGCCTGCTGGTGAGGTGTTTCATGGGGCTTTCCTTAAACTTTGTTTTGTATTTTAAAAGTTTTCGTCTAGGCTGATAACATCGTGTTAAAATTAACTTTGACTTAACTGAACACTGTTTTTTTCTTTACTAAACTTTTTGTAGGACATTTTAAAACTTTAAAACCTTATGTATTTATCATCATCATTTTCTAAATCTGAAAAAAATGTACGAAAACTTTAATTTGTATCATTCTTTAAGTCGTATCAAACACGCTTAGCTCGTTGCAAATTCCAGGTGAAGATTACAGATGCATCAAGAGTTATTATTATTATTATTATTATTATTATTATTAGATATTTGTGCAAGGTTTTGGACGGTTCGGACAGCTGAGTGTTTCCCTTCAACAAAGGCAGTGTGAGCCTCCTCCATCACAGTCCAAAGTATTATGTCACCGGTTTTCTTTTTTTGTTTTTTTTTATGTCTCTGCCCCCAACCCTCAAGTAAAGTGATATCACACGGTGTACAGCTGGCACAGCCGCTCTCCCCGCCCCGCCCCACCGGGACCGGCGGCAGAGGGGGCCAAATCTACCCCCAGGTGCCGCGCTGGGGACGGCGCACTGCATGCCGAGCAGTGACACTGATCAGGCGGATTGCTGCCTCCGTCTTTAGCGCTTCACAGAGGAGGAGGATGCCCTGAGATCTCCCTCAGGCCCTCACTGGCACCTGGATGTGAGTGAAGCGGGTGGGAAGAGGGAGTGAACGACGGTGGATAATGACATGATGGATCCGGCTGTAGAGCCAGCACAGGAGGGCTCCGGGCGTCTTTACTGACCGGTGCTGAAGAGGAAATCACTGGACTTTGTGTGTGGAGCCGCTCGTGATATTGGACCGACCACAGCAATTAAGAAGAAACCGTTTCTCAAACAGGTTGCTCATATTTCGTTCAGTCTGAAAGGTAGGCATCATGGATTTACTATCATCCGTGCGCCACTTAACGGCTGTGCGCATTCATTTACCCGCTTAATTGAATAAAAATTAGGCTAATCAGTGATGTAACAGATGGTAAATTGACCTCCAGTCGCCAAATAAGTTAATACATTAGCTATGTTTGTGAGGGAAAAGTGTTCATTTATGATTTTATCCCGAAAATGGTCGTAAATACTGTAGATCGTTAGACATTCATCTCGAATTAGTAACAATATTACCCAGAAAAGTGAGTGAAATTGATTTAAGGTGGGTTTATCTTCAGTTATACACCTGATTCTAGCAATCTAATATCCAGTGTTGTGTTTGCATTACACTAAAAGAGGACATATAAATGAAAATGAATCATACTACAACAATTTCTAGACTTTGCACAAATGATCATGAAATATTGATTTTATCTTGCATGATTATGGCTACCTTTATACACAGTTAATGTAAGGTGTGTGTTAGATATCATACATTTTACAAAACTAGAATTAACAGGATAACTGAACACTGAAAGTGAGACAAATGCAGGAGTGAATAATGACATGGGAGTAATGAATGGATGAATTTCTGATGGGAATGGAGACAGATCCATTCATCCAGAAGCATTTCTGCTCAGGCTCATTTACTGTTGCACAAGTGCTGGCCACATCACTGCTGGGTGTCTCCTGATGTCACTGCTAATACTGAGGTTATGTCTTTCTTTTGCTTTCCCAGGTGGCTTTGCAGCACAGTCCAGGATGTTGCCTTCCAGCTGGTGACTTCTACAGATCAGGTGTGTGTTTGAGTAAGCTTATGATCACTATATCTCTACTACACCCATGCATTGTTGTCTACAGGTCAAAAGCAGGGCAACTATAAACCTTTTGCCGCAAGGTTGTTCGTGTGGTGTGTCTGATCTGTGCTCACCTCCGGGATCTTGCTCTGGGCAAATCGTGTTCACTTTTGCTTCAGCTCTTTTTAACAGGGATTCTGCACAGACTTCAACCCCTGCTCAGTCTACTTCTTTCATTTTTACATACTCAACCATGGATGAACCCAAATAAATAACAATGAGGTAATTATGACTCTTGGCAGCTGCTCCAAACTAAGACAGACCAGAGTGAGTTTACACATCATCAGTGATATAGAAGAAAAACGGTTGACTGATTTTCATTTAGACTATTTGAAAATTAAAATCTCTACTGTTTCTCCCACTGTTTCCCACTCGTTCTCTATCTTTGCTGTCTCCAGCTTTGGCAGCGGGTGCCTCTGTCCTAGATGTAGATGTGTTCCTCTCCTCACACACCGGGATGAGTGCTTTCAGAGGTGGACGAGGCAGAAAAGTTGAGATTTTACTACCTGGTTAAATTGCCCTGTGTGATGGAAAAATAATGTTAAAAGAAGGATACTTGAATAGTTGAAACCCCCTGGCTTTAAAATTGCAGTGACTCTGCGATTTCCTTCGCAGTGTTGGAGGACACCTCAACAAAATATTCATATTATTATTTAAGAATGGATATCCTATATCAAGCATCCACTCAGCCACTGCAAATGGCCTCTGTTTCACATCTCTCCTTGCTTTTATCTTTATTATTTATTTTAATGTATTCTGACATCATGGCTTAATATGAAGCCCTGTTGAATTTTTAAATACATATTACACACTGCCTCTCTCACATAGTTACTTTCTATTTGTCTTATACAGGAAAAAATTTAAAATTATAAGCGAGGGTTAAGACAGAGTAATTCCTAGAAGCCAATCTAAAGAATATACAGGTGCCACTGTAATGGGATAATCAATGATATTCGTTTCACCTGTCCATGGTCATAATGTTATGGCTGAACAGTGTATGGAAATAAGCAGAATATAACTAAATTAATAAGTCAAATACTTGATAATTAGTCTACTTGATTAGTCAGAGGACAAACTTTATCAATTGTTTATTATCAAGCCAAAATTCAAAATATTTGCTGATTCCAGATTCTTAAACTGAGGTTTTACAGGGTTTCAGTCTTACATTTGATTTATTGTATTTTAACCCAAGTTATTTTATAAGATGTCACTTGGAGCAGTTTTTACTATTTTCAAACTTTTTTTTTTTTTTTTTTAGCTTGAGTCAAGAGAAAATCAGCTTGGCATAAAGAGAGTAAACTGGAGGACACAGTTGGCTCTGTGCAGGGTTAATCTCTTTGCCAGCTCGCTGACTTCCTGGGGTGTCTGCTGATTGCCAGGAAGTGCGTGGCCAAGAAATACTGCTGTCCAGCATATAGTCCTTCTACGGATTATGTAAATTGGTGAGCTTTAGAGGTGCTGGTAGGTGGATTTTGCCACCTACAAGCCAGGCTAGCTGCCAGCCCCTTGTAGTCTTTGTGCTAAGAAAAGATACGACTGGGTGCTGGCTGGAGAATTTTATTTTAGACAGACAAATGTCTAACTCTCAGCAAGAAGGCAAATATGCATGTTTCCCAAAACTATTTCTTTTATTTGTAGATAAAGTTGGGTTTTCTAATTAAATTTTCCTTTTGAGGCTTCCCTGCTTTTCATGGTTCGCTCAGGGATCACAAGGGAGAAAAAGCTCAGACTTTCAAAACACAAATCATCACCACATCATCCCACTTGAAACCTCTGAGGGAGGAGGTGATTTTACCTCTCTAGTTTTGGATCAGAGGCATGTTTGGTGGTTAATGGGTGTCTGCTGTGTGTGTGTGTGTGTGTGTGTGTGTGTAGGAGCCAGTTGTCACTGACAGTTGTGCATTCACATTTAGCTGACTGTTAGGGTTGTTTCATTTCCCACAGAGAAAACAAATTAAAATATGACATCTCTCATCGCTGCCTCTCATCTCCTGCTTTTCACTGTGTGAAGAGATGACAGAGTTGTTAAATATAGTTCTGCAAGTGGAGTGTGAAACCTCTCTACCTCTTTTCAACATTCGACGACTGTGGTAGTTTGAAGACAGAATCGTCTTACTGATAGGTCTATAAATATGTTTTGTGTGTTAACAAATGAGAGCGGAAAGGAACAGCAAGAAAAAAAATATTGATCTCTTTACTGTAGTGGGGAGATTTGGTTGAAAATAATATGTGATGTTAGTAAGAATATAACACTGTAGTGCCCTGGACATTGTTGTGGGGCTAGGTATCGTTATCAGTTGTAACTGTTTTAACGAGTCCATTTTTCTGTCAGTTAGCTCACTAATGCTATGGTACCCATGAACTTCAGTGGTCACTCCAATGGAGAAGAGGCATGAATCAGAGCTGCAGCGTACTCTGAATGATTTGTTGTTTCTATGGGGAATCAAACGCTGATTAATAGTTGCTAATTTAATCTAATATTAACCCAGAATTTAAAAGAAGAATGGTTCATTCTGTTGAAACCAGTTTCATCACAGTGGGCTTAGTTTTAGTGCAAGGCGACTGGCCAGCGCAAGAGATTTTTAAGCTTGGTGATTGGATATCTCCATATAAAAACCCCATGTGGAAGCTAAAGATGATTTTTGTGTAATGTGGACAGGCTTGTTCCGGTAATGTTTTAACAAAGAACCGAATATTTTCTAATAGAGGAAACTTAGTACTGAAGAAAATGAACTCTCTGTTTCTGATGAGCAGTCACTGACCACATTAACCTGCCTCAGTGGTTGGTTAGTGTGTTTTTTTTTTGTTGTTGTTGTTGTTTCCTGATGCTTTTCTTTCTATTCTCTCTCCTCTATCCACTCACCCCAACCAGTCAAGGCAGAAGGTCACCCACCAAGTGCTTGCTCAAGGGGGATTTGTTGGGTTTTCCCTGTAATACTGTAAAGTGTCCTTAGATGATTGTTGTTGTGAATTGGTACTATACAAATAAAATTGGATTGAAACTGACCTGTACCCCCTGGGAGTCAAACTGGGGACAGCGCAGTGCACGAGTCTTCAACCACTTGGACACCCACACAGCTCAACTACTTTTTGCATTAAATCATTTTTTCAAATCGGTCAGTAAATAATCCTTTTGAATGATCATCATACTGTACACCTAAATTAAAAGACAGCGGTCCCTCGCTGTCTCTTTCTTACACACAAGCATAGTTGATATCCCTCCCACTGCTGCCTTGTAAATCCCTGAAAATCACAGGGACACACTTTTTCTTCAGCCGTTCTCTTGTGGCAAAGAACTGGATCCTTTAGTTACTGTCACTGAAACCCGTTTGAGAGATACACACCATTTAACATGAGTCTCCTGGTCACCCGGGATTCGTACACATAATGACTTAAAGGGGTTTTGTGTTGTTGAAATCAGATTCCTGTTGGCTCCTCTGAGACTGTCTCATCCTCCTTTCATCCCTGTCGCTTGCCCAAGTCGGCAAGTAACAGGATTTCTGGTAGATCCTCTCGGCCTCAGTTAAATCTAAGGCTTGTTGTGTTTGCGCCATAGCTTAAATTGGCATTTGTGTGTGTGTGTGTGTGTGTGTGTGTGTGTGTGTGTGTGTGTGAGTGTGGGAGTCAGGCAGCTTTGAACTCACTGAGAGTCATACGTGAACTGGATTGGTTAAGATACTCTGACGGTGTTGGAGTTGAGTCTCCCAACCTTCGTCACTTGGCATCTTTGTCTCTCCAGTCTGTTAGAAACACTCTAATCTGAGGGTTTACCTCAAAACTCCCTTTCTAGCATAATTTAGTTGTGTGTTAGTCAGAATCACTTATTTTTGGTTCTGAAAAAATTCCATTGCTTTGTGTGTGTTGATATACATCAGAAGGCTGTACTGTTATTTCTGCATCGATGTGCGACAGTAGCTTTAGCAGTGTAACCCAGGTATTAAACTGAGACCAGGAGAGGAATGATCTACAGTATGTCGAAAGAGGAGCATATGGTTGAAAGAGTGGATGGGAGACGGAGACAAGAAGGATAAGGATGACAGAGGAGACAGAGATAGCGAACTAGAGAGGGGAGAGACGGGGGAGCAAGAGACTTCATCGCTTTTAACAACATTATCGTGGCCCATGTGTATCTAATTTAGTACGATGACACAGTGGAAGATACGGCACTGAGTGAACTGTCTGGGAGAGAGGCTCGCATGCTCATTGTAACACACGCTCACTCGCAGAGACACATTTCTCTCTGTGAGTGTGGTACCTATATAAACTAGTTTAGATTTGGTTGCGTTCAGTGTTAAATATTAAGATTGATGATCCTGTCCCTGTCTGAACACAGTTTTAAAGGGGTACACCCAGTAGAAAATATTTAGTGCAGGGGGCCAGATGGGGCCGGTAAAAATCTGTGGGCGGCACAGTAAAAAAGCTATATGCTTGTTAAGTGTGATGTAACATTTCACTTCCATGTTCAACCTCACCCAGACCCAAATTGCGGAGCCTGACACTCTCTACACAATGACATCTTTTCTTAGCGAAGCATCATCAACGTGTGAAAAAAACTTCTAAACTCTTTCAGCTCAAATACAGAACTCAGTGTAGCTGTTCTACCTGGCGACATAATAACCAAACTCTGTTGCACATTGTATTAAAAGTATTCTGAGATATACTTTCATCACTGTAAATGTGTCAGTGTATAGTGTTTATATTAACTTTGTGTTAACTGTTTACGAGGCAAAAACACAGTGCACCTTTAGAAGTTTTAGCTCTTTCATTACTTGACTGATCTCATGTAAATATAGGATTAGGATAGTCACATGAGATCAGTCAAGTAATCATTAATTCCAATTTGAATGCATCATCAGTAATAAATCAAGTGTGTGGGTTGCGTAAACAATATTAACTATTAGCTGATAAAAGTTTTGTGTATTTCCAGCACATCATTTTTCATATTATTTGCAAAAATCTTCCATATTTAGAATCGTAGCCTCGAACCAACACTGTATTCAGTTGTTCAAACTTTTAGGTGTCTAAACATTATACAAGTGGCTATAATTCTAGGTGTATCTGTATTTTATAGAATAAATGGATGAAAACATGTCTGACCTAAAGTTCTGCTGCAATTACAACTCAACGCATCAGATTTAATGCTCACTTTCTTAGTGATTTGTATAATTCAGTACCAGCTAACATTAAAACTATTGAAATGGGATGCAATCTCCAAATCATGTAATTAGTTCCTTTATTGAGAATAAAACAAACAACAAAATTCTGCTCAAGTGTGTGACATTTTAAATACATGTCAGATTTTTAAGGGCTTGTGTTGTAAATAATTTGAATGACTGCGGCGTTAGAATGCCCCTCCCCCCTAGGGGGCGCCACCGACACCCAGACAGTTCACTTAGTTCAAAAGTGAAAGAAACACGTGAAAAAAAAGAAACCTTGTGCTGTATCTGATTGTACTGTGCACAACATGGGAACACGAGGCTCTACAACCAGGCGCTAGACCAAGCCAGTCAACCCTGAAGTAGTGTTAACCCTCTGGGTGACATTTCCCAGTCAGGACAGCACAACAAGTGTCAGAGCGTTTAAACCATTTCATTAGGCAATACGACTGAAATGCACAGTAAATTACAGCCTTGGGAGGCTCGTAGCTTTTAGAAAATTACATTAATGTCACAGTAATGAAAAAGAAACTAGATTTTTTTTTTTTCGATCAATTTAATTGGGATAATTAAATGTTGTCCTTCCACTGAGAAAAATCTTGCAGATTTAGTTAATCAACTGGAACAGTAGATAAACACAGTCTGGTGTTGTAATTACTAAAATGGCAGTGTTTAACTGTGCTTCATCTCAACCATGTGTTAATGTCAAAATCGTGCTTTTTATAAACTGCTTTAAAAGGTCCTTTTCTTTAAGCGCATTAATATTTGGTTAATGTGTCATTAAGTATTTGATGTGACTGCCAGGAGAAGGAAATCAAGGTATCCACACACATATTATCTCTCTCTGTTGCACACAACTAATTTACTGTTTTCTGTCAGATAGGTCTGTTTATAAGAAGCTATGTTTGAGGGCATTTACACTGTGCAGTGGAGATAATTAAGTTTGTGGATGTTTTTTTCTTTGCATTTAAACCAGTTTTACTATTGTGTGTCTGCCAATCAGAGCTATTTGATTAAGATTATTTACAGTGGGTGCAGAAAGTATTCAGACTCCCTTAAATTTTTCACTCTTTGTTATATTGCAGCCATATGCTAAAATCATTTAAGTTCATTTTTTTCCTCATTAATGTACACACAGCACCCCATATTGACAGAAAAACACAGAAT